GTCCCAGTGCCTCCTCACCCTCTCTGTGAAGAACTTACGTATATGTAGAAATATTTGTATGTAAGAAATATTTCCCAAGCATGTTTTTGTTGAGGAGCAGCCAGGAGGCTAAATCCATCCAGGAGAGCAAGAGGAGGAGGTAGGGCTGGGTATAGGCTGGGATAGGACCACAGACCTTTTCAGAAGGGGGCTGGTGTTCTGTGGAGGAAGCCAAACCCCAGCTAGTTCCTGTAGCTCCAAGGCTTGCAGCGAGTCCCGCTTCACAGGGCTCTGCCAAAGGGTCTGGGTGTGACACCAGAGGCTCTGCTTCAATTTTCAGCCTGATTTTCCAGGAATAAAAACAACCTAAAGAAAAAATCACACATTTCTCCAGAGACCACTCAGTGCAAGAATCTTTTGCTCCAGATCTGTTGCAACAAGGGATGCTACCACGATGACTCTCTTTAAATCCTAATCAGTGTATACAATCTAAAGTTTTAAACTGAGCAATTTCTTGATGCATTTGCTCTGGGTCTCAGAGGCATAATGGGGTGAAAAACTGACGTTCCAGTTGACCAAGCTGTCTAGCTGTCCACGTATTGTCACCAATATTTTGCTTTGTAGTCCTGGGCTCTTAGAGCCTGATGATTATGCGAGAATTTCAGCTGTTAATAGTTTCCAGATTCCCCTCTGTTATGTGTGGTTATGGGTGCTTTGGTGCCTGGTCATGCTTTCGGTTCCCCTCTGTCTTGATACAACTCAACCACCTCCACCCCAGAGCAGCTCCATGACTTCCTGTCCCAGCAGCACGCACGGCAGGATGGCATTGCCAAGGCGAAGAGGGGAGATAGTTTTCCGGTGGCAGCCCCCTCCCCACATCATTTCAGCGTTTATTCCCAAGCGTGCTCCTTGAAAGGAGTCTGCACAGGAAAAGAAGACATTTCCATGGCAAACACATTTCAAACTGCCCCAAACACAGCTCTGTCTGAATCCTGAGGACAGCGATAAACAGCTGCTGGCCCATAAGAATTCCAAGTATTTCTCTAGATGAGCAGAAACGAAGCCCCTTCGTGTCGCTGCAGTGGGTGGCTTTGCTGTAAAGGGCTAGCCCTGAAAATGGGGACGCTGGGGTTTCAAGCTTGGCTTTCTCACTGTGTGATCTCGTACAGGCCTTTTTTCTAACTGGCCCTTTGGTGTCCCTGATACATATTATTATCCCCATGTGATGATTTAACGATGATTTCAATGCAAATTAATTATTAATGATGCTGGCACTTCCAGCAGGCCAGCCCCAAAACATTTGCCTCCATTGGTACGCCTTAGAGACCGGCAAATAATTTCTAAGTGAAGAGCAGAGCAATGCTGTTATTAACACTATTCAGCATTTAAATAGCATCATCCCTGTTTACAGGCACGTGGGCTTCAAGGTCACTGTGACCACCCCGTCTGGCACAGCAGCCACCAAGGGCTGGAGCACAACTTCGGGACCCACTTCTCAAGCCGAAGCGGTGGGACGTGGAGACATCCCCAAAGCCAAAGGCAGCCGCAGGGAGGGTTTTGCTCCAAAGCTGGGTCAGGTTACTAGGGGAAGCAAAAGCCTCATTGCTCCAGGGCAGGAAAAGGTGGAAACACCATCAGCCTCAGGCCAGCAGCGTAATCCATCCCTTTAAAGAGAGCCAAGCAGATGGTGGGTTAGATAAAGGAATTCTTGAAAACCCTGTCTGAAACTCCTATACAGAGACATCACAGGTAGAAAGTGG